AAATTTGTCGACCCAATGCGCGTTTGGAAAGGGTTGACAAATTTCGGGCGTTTTGATGGGCCGTGTTGCAAACTCTTGGTGGCGCACTATTGTGAATCACCCGTATTCTTCATGCACTTCCAGAAATATATTGAACCTGTTAATAACAACACAGGTACTATAGAGCACTTCCATCCAGAAACCCAATCAAAGAACATACATTAGTATTAGTTCTGATTGTCGGGCCTACTAACATTCCTAAAAAACATCTTACTTCCTTAATCATTGCAGGACACCGGCAGGCTACTCACGGGAAGCAACGAGAAGAAACTCAGGATCTTTGACCTTGCCAAGGTGGAGGCGGAGCCAGTGGAGATTCCCGCCCACACAGCTAACATCCGCTGTGCGCTGTGGTGCAGCGATGACAAGAAGCTGATTAGCGCGTCAGACGATAAGACAGTCAGGTAGGCCTTCAAATGAGCCAATCTGGTGTTCCAGAAAAGCCAAGTCATTCGAGAGCAAAGCATACATGTAAGTCCTCGTTGGGCAGCACTGATAGGACAGACCTCTTATATGCATCTGAATGACCTCGGACTTACTTCGTTTTGAGCATGTTCTGTTGGAATACTGAATCGGTTCATTCCTCATCGTAACCGATCGCAGAGTCCAGAAATTCTCATAATGCTGAACAGTCCTCAATTTCCAGACAATATTTCATAAATAATTTGTCAAGACCTTTGCGGGGCCTTTAAATTACTGCTTTTATAAAGAATGCCATACTTCAGTTAAGTCCAACGGGCTCGATGAAAGACATCAACTTAGAAAACAGTTTTAATTGTTTAATTTGAAAGTATGATTAAAAAATCGGTGCTCTTAATTTGAAAAGTGATCCTGAAATGATCTTGACAAGGTCAGCGAAAGGTTTTGAAGTTGACTGTTAAATATTTACAAATAAGCAGGATGCTTTCAGTATATTATTATATTCCGTAGCCCATTTGCTTGGTTCATTTTGTCTAAAAATGTAAATGATGGATAAAAGATAGATTGGCCTTCAAAGTACAACGCCAGCAGTAATTATCTTGTCTGCAATAATTATCACAAAAACACCATCCAACACTTTCTTGCAACAACATGTTGTATTATTTACATATCCAGTCAAGATTGGTTTTTTCCCTGAAGGAAAATGTGACCAACTTATTTTGTTCATAAAAGCTGCAGGAGATCCGGATATTATATTGTAAATAGGCTAATGAAATCAGAAAAGACCAACAGGTACCTTCAAAACGAAACTAGTATCTCGGCTCATGGGTGGATTGTGCAGTGATACTGTTGCACATCGCCATAGCCTTGCCTTTCCATTAAAGAAATTCCAAACCTTTAAAGAGCACCTCTAAGGAAAACATGTTTTCTCTGATTTTGTCTGTTCAAATAAAATATGGAAGCATTCAAATCAAACGCAGTGTCATTTGTCTTCAGAGCTCAACTATAACAAGCTAAAAAAGGGCTTTTTTCTGTTCATGCCAAGATGCAAATTCTGAATGTAGATTGTGTCATTGGAGAAAACAGAAAACGAATGGAGGCCTTGCCCTGTGTTTGTTGTGGATAAACCCTTGTGCGTGCCAAACAATGGCCACATGCATTGTTTGGCATGCACAAGGGTGTAGCAGGCTAAACGATAGCTACATGCATTTATCTCCAGAACAAAAAATCTCAGCACCAACTTAAAAAAAAGGCTCCTCTTATATCTTGTATTGACTCCTGACTCCAGCAATATTCAACATCATACATGTATGACCAACATTGAATTTGGTTGCATTATTAAAGCAGGATTGAAAAGGGTAGCCCTCGGCAGTCCTGAGTGACGCATCCAAAGTGCAGTGAGAAAAAGAACTGAACAAGCTCTTTGACAATTTTGTCCAATATACAGTGTCTGGGACATGGCCAGCGGTGAAGAGATCAAGAAGGTTACCCTGGACACAGGCACCATCAGCTTGGACTTGACCAAGAGTGGAGATGTCTGCACTGTCTCCCATGGCCAAAAAATCAGCTTCTACGATACAGACAGGTAGAATTATTCCACTGGTTGTGTATTTGAGTTGTGTTTCAAATCCCTGTTGTGACAGATTTGAATTGATCAAGACCTTTGGTTTACAGTCCCGTTTTTATGGAGTAGAGTTGATTTGATCAAGACCATCATTTTTATATTCCTTTTTAGCAGATTTATGTTGCTCAAGAGTTTTATTTTACATTCCTGATTTTACAAGTTTGAAATGATACAGACCTTGATTTTACATTCCTGTTTTGACAGATTTGAGTTGATCAAGACTCTTGACGCACCCTGCACCATCAACTCGGCCTCTCTCCACCCAGACAAAACCTGCTTCGTGGCCGGAGGGGAAGATCTAAAGATCTACAAATTTGATTATTCAGATGGAAAGGAATTGGGTGAGACATGTTTTGCACTTCTGCACTCCACAACCATATTGTATCTTTTATTGTTCCCGCCTAGTTCCAGATTGTAATGATTGTCGGCTGCACCCTAGATATCAAGGCGTAGACAGTTGTGGAAGAGACTTGTGCATGACGCCATTGAACACAAAATTGATAACAAAATTTTCGTATAAAGTGCCTTTGTAGTTTGGTCACACTGTATCTTGGCGCTAAACCGGTTCTTCAGTTCGATGAATTTGATTCATGGTAAGCTATTTGTTGATAAAAGGGGAATCCTTTTTTAGTCAAAAGGATAAAATGAGCCAAGTACATGGTACTCAAGCAAGAAGGACATTGTTGTAGGCCTGTCATGCCAGCGTGTGAGTTTATATGACCTGATGTGAAAACCTGATTCTGACTGGCAGCAACGTTGAACAAGATCCAACTTTGCTGACTGGCTGTGGTTGTGTCAGTTGCAACGTGATTGCATTTAGGACTGTTCAGCGATGCTGTCTCTTAATGTTAGAATGTAAAATGAGCTTTAATCCAAAGTGTTTTAATTCAAGATTGCACGGACCTTTCATGAACAGAGTTTTACATTCTCACGACAGTGCTATGAACAATATGTAAGGACATGGCAACCCATTGGGGAAGAGCTTGAAATATTGTGTACTAACACTTGAAGACCATGCTCAAAACAATTCACGCCAATGCAATCATTTCACACCAATTTCTTCATAACTCACACGATCCTCCTTCCTGCTTAAAGTTTCTCAAAATTTTTATGAACAGAGTCCTACAAGGGCCACTTCGGTCCTGTCCACTGTGTCCGTTTCTCCCCGGACGGTGAGCTCTACGCCAGTGGCTCAGAGGACGGCACTCTGCGTCTCTGGCAGATGACACTGGGCAAGACCTACGGACTCTGGAAGTGCATCGAACCCGACGAGGCCGCGCTGGATGCGTGCGCCGGGGCGGATGTTGTGGCCCCTCTGGTTACTGAAGCTGAATCGTGATAGGCAGAGAATATGAACAGCCGTCGGATTTAAATTTGATATTGATGTCGCAGGTATTTTGGCCACCGTAAAGACTGTGTATACATAACCTCTCAGAGACAGGGGAAGAAAATACAGTGCAAGTATACGTTGGTACATGTAAATATAAGTAGGTACGTCAAATGTGCTATAAAGAGATGGTGAGTGCTCTTGCGCAGTGTTTTTATCAACCCATCCTTCTTGACAACACTCATACTTTTTCTGTAGTTGTGGGCACTACACACGTGTTGAAATATAGATGTTGTGTCCACCAAAAACGGACTTGGGACACATTTTTTGTCGCTACAACCCAGTCTCGATTTTCCTCATGAACGAATTTACCCACTCAATGCTGTGAAGGCTACACACAAGCATGTTCAGTGTTTGTGTCCAACGTGTGAGGTGAATCCTCTCATCATGTCCACAAGCGAAGTTTACAGTACTCAAAGGTCACGCTGCGTTGATTTTCACCGAGTTGTTTGCGGAGTGAGTCTGCACTTTGACCTTGCGACTTCCTTGAATATTTTTTGAAAATAAATAATTGTTGACTGCTGTGACGTTGGACTTTTGTCTTTTTTTGTAACCACTTGAGAATGTCATTCTTTGCCCTCTCGTGTTAAAAAGAACACATCCCAAATCATAGCAGTTAGCAATTGTTTGATGTCACCGACTTGCTCTAAGACTATTTATTCACAAACCCTTCATCGCAGTTGTGAAAGTCAGGGTACCAGGTAACTTCCGCAGCGAGGCACATCAGCCAATTAATCGTACACTATATCTAACAGCAAAATCTGTACAATTCACCCTCAAAGGGTGAAATATCGGTATTTTGTATATTAATGTACACGGTGTAGGATAGCTAGAAATAATCAGATTTCAAACAGGTCGGATTGGCATTGTGATGACTGAATGGTTGTAATATTCAGCAAATGAAAACTTCTGATATTGTGAGTTACTTTTGTTAAACATGTCAGCAGATTGTACATCAATAAGTAGAGTTTGTTGCTCCGAGAATTTGCAGGGTTTGTTTTCACCACTATTACCAGAAACTTGTTCCTGTTACGCTTGTTAGTTGAGCGTTTTTGCATCTTCAGTTGTGCCCGTGTGATGTCATTATTCTGGCCAAATGAGAAGCGGTGGTTGGAGGCGATTCACTGCTGGTTCAAAAAGGCAGAAATAAGAACGCATTGTTTTTTCTCCAAAGTGAGTGCACATTATGTATCCCTCAATTTCTTGTTGCTTACAGTGAAACAAAATGGATGGTTTCTTCTAAAATATAGAAAAAGAGCAGCAGTTGGAATCTTGCCAAATATTGAATATTTGAAATGACAGTATGGTCAACAATATCGTCTGCCACCTGGTATGTCATCTCTGTTGGTTTTTTGTTTTTGGGGGGTTTTTTGGTGGCGCTGTCTGAAAAACATCTGGTTATCGTCCTAATGGTATGATCATGATTGTGGTTTAAGGGTCACAAAAACACTATCTTTACACTTTACACTTTATCTTCTTCTTTGATCCTAACCCTGCTAGACGCAGCACAGTGCATCAGGTGAAAAGTTTGATGCACTTGGCAATCAACAGCAGCCAAACTAACAAGCCATGTTGAGACAATGGGAGCCAGCCCCATTGTACCATGTCACTGTTGGATCTTGTGGTGTCTTGCAACCACAGACTCCCAGGTTGTTTGACCTTGGGAGAGATGACCTGTTATACTGTCTTGTTATACTGGGAAGGGAAAGCCACTTTGACAAATGATGCAGACTGATGTGTCTGGCAAGGTTTCTAGCCAAAGTACCCTGGAGGGTTAGGGTTAAATTGCCCTCTATCGCCGCTGCTTTTGCTGAATAGAGTACCGAAATGTGACATCATTTTTGACCATGAAGTCTAGTGTAAACAAATGGAGTATATGATGATTCTGGAACTACATGTAATGTTTTCAAGATGTATTTTTTGCGTTGGGGAGATGTAAATTTATATGACAGGTTTTGCCCTTACCCAACGTATATATTAATAAACACTGTATGCTCAGTGCTTGTCCGAGAGCTTGCGAAGTAAGCAGGTGGTCGTGGGTTCGAGTCCCACCCGAGTAAGCTTGTGACTTTTTTTGCAAGCTCTCGGACAAGCACTGAGCATAGAGTGTTTATTAATATATACGTTGGGTAAGGGCAAAACCCGTCATATAAATTTACATGTAATGTGTTTTATATACATAATTGTGCAAGTGACACGCTATGTTTTTAGGGATGCAAGACTACTGATTAGTCACCATCACCTGGGCTTTGATGTTGTATCCGCTGCGTGTAGACGTATTCCCTCAGTGGAAAAAAGGGAGAGACAAGGGGAGTACCAGGCGCACACAGGATTTTGGTACATTCCGACTGAAATTGGGTGCACCTGCTCATCACAGCCTGTGGGAAGCGCGCGTGAAGTGCATGCACGCAGAGTTTTCCCCACCACATTTCCATGTAAAGCACAACATCTCCCTAGTTCACATGTGCAAGCAGATGATTCAGAGATAGCCTTGCGCTGTCATTTCCACATGCTTGCTAAAAACTCCAATGGAGATCATCAGCCCAAGTACCACTAAAGACTTGGTTTTAAGACAAATCCCACCCCATCGAAAAGTAAAGTGTTCACTCTGGAACCAGTAAGAGCCTCATGAGGCCCTTCATTGCTTACATTTGTTATTCACTGGCATAGCCTCTTGCTTTGTTGCCATTGAGTAATACTTCCACCAGCTGTGGTTCCCATCTAAACCACACATCGACCATGGCTAGTAACCGTGCTCTATAATTAATATTGGCAGGCCTTCAGAGCCACAGAAATATCCCGGAAAAAAAAAACAGAAATAAATAAAGATTGCAAATTCTGTCCAAGAGTTGACTTGATTTTGGTCTTTAATCTCTTCTTTCTGTCTTGCCTCTTTGTAGCTTCATTTAGACGTAACCTTAATTTAATCTGTTAAATGCTTCGTAACTCATTTGCATACTCTCCTCCCCAAAATTGTAAGACCACAAAAAGCAGATACCCACATTTATTTCACCGTTAAGATTTGGGGGGGGGGACATAGGAAAAATGATTACGTGTACAACTAGAACTGCATTTTGTTACACTAGTCGTTTGGTATTATCGGGCGGTAAAGTCTGATTATATTTTTACATGTTTTGGGGATGGAATTGGATGGGAAAACATAAATTTCGTCTGGTCATTCTGTGCAGTCACAGTCTAGCATGTGTCAATGTTCATTGTTTCTTTTTCAACAAGACTCTTTAAGTATCAAAGATTAAATGAATCAAAAATGACCTTTATACAGTGTGGGGGGTTATCCCCTATTCTGGAAGCAGCTTAATCCCCTGTGGGTTTTTTTTTGGGGGGGGGTTGGTTTTAATATTTATACTGAAATCCTTTCGGAGAGCCTGTCATCTCTAATATATGTGATGCAGTGCCTTCAAGGTCGGGCATATATGATGAGAGTAAATCTTTCAACTACAATAGAATTGCCCTTTGAGTCATCCCTTATATTTTTTGTGTGTCATCAATTCAAAGTCTCTCTCCCTGAAATTTCTGCATGCTTGTGCCTAATGCCCAGCACATGCAAGTAAAGCCCCAATTTGATTTTAGCTTTCTATACTGAGTTTGCTGTGAATTTGAGGAATCTGTTGACCTTGAATGGGAAGCATCTGTGTGCCTGTACGCAATCGCTCTGAATCTTTAAAGGGATTTTTACTGGAAGTTGAGATGTAATTCCTGTAGTTTTATGACACAGTTCGAGTATGTCATACAACCTTTTCCTCTTGAGCAACCTTTGTCATGAAAATGTTGGATTTTTATATGTTACAGATTTCTTTGTGTTGGTCATATTCTACTTGGATAGTCTTGAGTGTCTTTATGCTATGAGATGTTTTCAATTTTCCAAGGGAAAATTATATGATTATTGACATCCAGAAATCCGTTTCATTAAAATATATTTTGATAGTTCACTTTTGCACACGTTTTTCATTATGCCATACTTTGAATTAGAGAATGACTTTTTTTTAATGAGCATACGCTCATTTTTGATCAGTGAATCGTTTTCCTAACAGGTTGTATCAGGAAAGTGGAATCAAGACCAACTTTTCCTCGAATGTGTATAGATGTCTGGATTGAATGTAATTTATTTTGTGAAACTAGCGGGAACTGAGGCATTGTTTGAGTCCCACTTGCATTGCAATATTATAGAAACTCGCAAGAAATTGATAACGCCCTCGTGTGGTACAAATGGAAAAATAAATATGCATGAACACATCCTAATGGATGCGCTTTAGCAAAGCTCTCAGACAAACATGGCGCTTGTCGCAGCTGTCGTCGTTGCATGTCGTTGAATGGGGGGCCTTATCGAGATAGAATCGGCGAAGCAAACACACGTAGTGCAGTGAACGTGCGGCCCTTGACTGGCTTGACGGGAGCATCGACCGATCGCGGTATTGCTTGGCGAAGGGCCCGAGAAAGGTAAGTGTTTTAACGTTTTTGCACCCTGTTTTGGTGGGATTGCATGGATACGTTTCCATGCCGAACAAATTCTTTGGTTGACAGTATCCAAGACGAAGCGACGAATTGAACTTGAAGTGGAAAAATAAGTAGGCCTAGGCTAGGCCCCCCTGCGGCCCGGGCCAGCCGATATGGACAAGATTCGTATCAGACACTAACCTAACGTTAACATCATGCACGACAATTGTCGTGTCTGTCCTTTTTGGGTGGTTTTCCAAATTCCAGAAAGTCAACAATTCAGAGAGTTCACACCAGTTTTTTTAGGTTAGAATTAGGCCTAACTGAATTGATTACTTAGCGACATTTGCACCGTCCTGTGCGCCTTAAAAAGTTTTTGTAGGAAAGGGTACCATACCCATGCATCACTTGACACCCTTTGAACAAACCCCATGAAACTGCTCTGAAAGCTTCTGCGTGTTTTCTGAGAAGATTCTTTAATACTTTTCCTGCTAAATTCGACTTTTTAGGACCTGTTATCATCTTTCGAGAGTGATGGCTTAAGAAGCACTGCAAAGAATGTCAGCCTATGGAACTCTTCTTACCCTTTCAAAAAGACCTTTTCTTTAAGTTGCAGAGACATCGTTATTTACCCAGTTGGCAATAGATGACGCTGAATGGTGAAAGATCAAACTCTGCATGAATGCTTGATATGATCAGTAACTTGTTAACTTGGACTCTACGAATCGCCTCTTTTAACATGTGAACATGGTAGGGTGTGCCTGACCATGTCCAAATGTTTAAAAAGACGATTTGTCCAAGTTACTCGGACTATGGTAGGGCTTACTGTACGACTGCACGATCACACTACGCACTCAGTTAACCCTCTTGATTTTACAGCCATGGATATTATGGCCGGTGTTTCAAAAAGAATTAAAAAGTCTGAGATTCCATGTGGTATCGACCAAAAGCACAGCGATATACATGTAATAAGATACACTGTGCGATCCACTGATACAATGTACCTACTGGATAAACTTGTACACAAAGTCACCACCTGCATAGGCCTACATGTACATGTACCTCAATATCAGGTAAAGTTTGGAGGAACTTTGGTTGCCTGTGAAATTTCACCAGTGCCTCCAATCAAACTTAAGTGGCTGCTTGTGAAATAATTCTACATTGCGAAGTTTCATGAACACCAACCAAAGCCTCCCTGTTGGTTTGAAGGGGCTTTTTGCAAACAAAATGGGTCAGTACATAAGGGAAAAAGACGTAAAAAAAGAGTCCAATTTGGGTTGGTTGTGTTTATGAAACTGGAAAATTGTGATTGTCCAATAAAAATTATTTCTGTATGACTCAATTTTATCTTATACTGTAGATCAACAAAAGAATCGTTGGTACCTTTTGTTTTAAGATACTGGTAAAAATGTTACTCGTGTCATATGCTAAGCATAAGGTACACATTGTTAAAAAGTAGGCCACACAGCACAGTGTGTGTAGTACACTGCTACCAAACTGAAAATTGCAAATAAAATCCTGGGGTTCGTATTTATACAGTTGTTCTGCCAGGTTTGGCCAAATACAGCCGGTACTGTTTGTCATGTTGTCGATCACCAGAAAGATTAGATGACATAATAAAAGTAAAATGACACAGTTGCGGGATCAAGCCATAACTTCATGGTTTCACCGGAGTAAAAGTGGCGTTCATAATGGGGATGAAATACAATCGAATAATTAATTATTGAAATACTTGACCTGAAATTCGATTAAAAAATAATCTTGGATTATTCAAGAATTGATGGAATATTTAAATATAAAGAACACAAGTAAAAAGTACTGTTATAAAGGACAAATTCTTTGAATCTCTATTTCGTGATCTGTCCCCCCCCTCTTTATAACGATGCCCTGGTTATAACAAATTAATTTGTCTGGTCTCTGTCGCTTTGATATTTATAACGCGAGTTGTATTTGAATATATTCATATATTCAGCACAGGCTTACTTTCATCTTTGTAATGTTTCTGTCAGCTTCACTGCAATAATGCGTTGTGTGCAGGAACAAGATGGTGTTAAAGTGAAATGCTGGTGTGTACTTACGAGGATGAACTTAGCAAACTGCTAAAACTTGTATTGATTCTAAGAAATCATACTTTATAATTATGTGTCCATCGTGAGATCACTTACATTCATCAAAAAGAACATTTGATTAATTCCCCAAGTTTTATGAACTGAGGAATAGTTATTCCTATAATCCTCAAGAAATGTCCAGTGCACAGGATTATGACATACATTGTTTGTACACGTACTTTCACTTTTAAGGGCCATCAAGCCCCATGTGTGGAAAGTGATTGTATCTGGGTTCTATAAATTTCTCCATCCTTCAAAATCCCCCAGGATCTCTAGGGAGATTTCTGCAAAGCTTGTGAGGGTTGCTGTTAACCAAACACAGGAATTGCCTCCAATTTTCTCCCAATATTCTAGGATTACCTCCAAATCCGAAATAATTTTGTTGATTTCAGAAATACA